ATTTTTATAATTCTTAATTTTTTATAAGTAAAATAAAAAAATATTTTTATATGTATACTTTTATATTTTAGGAAAAAAAACTTGACTTGTAGTTGAGTTCGTGCCTAGCCGAGCTYGAACTTGCAAGCTTTGAACCGAGATGAGCTCGAGCTCAAATCTCTAGCTTGAATTGAGCTCGAACTTGAGCTAAAATCTCTAGCTCGAATCGAGCTCGTGCCTAACACAGTTTCAGCGAGCCGAGCTCGAATAGCCAAGTATTCGGCTTGGCCCAGCTCGAATTCACCCCTATTCATCATATTAAACAAAAATAAATATGAAAATAAGAATTACTCTTATTAATGATGGAAATGGAATACAAGATATAAAGTCAACCGAAAAAGCAAAATGATTTTTCCATCCAAATGGTGGGTTAGTAACTCAATTGTCTATGTCAAATAGGTCAACACATGATGTTATAATTAATTAAAAAAGTACATAAACTTCTAGAAAATTAAAAAATTTGTAGAGAAATTTGGGCTCATTATATAATATTATATATTTATCATATAAACAAATAAGTGTGATAAATAAGAATTATTTTCATTAATAATGAAAAGTGTGATAAAAATTAGGAAAAACATAAAGAGCATTAATGACTAACACATGACCCCGTTAAGCAGGTCAAATTGTTCGATAGTTTAATTAGTTAGGTGACCATAGGCAAATGGTTTGGTAGTAAATGGACCTATAATCTTGAATCTGGTTAAAGATGAATCAATCTAATCAATTGATTTGATAATGATATAAAAAACCAATGTTCAAACAATATATTGGAATTGCATTTCCTCTTGGTTAATAATTAACTTTTATTATGTCATAAATTAAATAAAAAAAATATAAAAATTCTTTATAAATTTTATAGAAAAATATGAACATGCCATTAATATTATATATTCTTCATATTAAACAAAACTATATTTGAAAAAAAATGAGAACTCTTGTTAGTTGTTAGTAAAGATGAAAATGAGAAAATAATAAAGGCCAAATCAATGTCTTAACCATGGTCCATGGACCTCGTCAAATAGGTTTGTGGTTCAACCAATAAGGTCATTTGGTTGTTTATCAAATCAATGATTTTTTTTTCCTTTTTGCAAAARGTGATTTAGGTTAAAACATACTCAAAAARTGACAAATTAATAAACCCAACCATTTGGTTGAACCACAAATTGAAAACATTGATAGAAACCACAAGAGCATTTGAAATTAGATCTTTGGGTTGAAAGACAACATATATATTCACAAATACACCATGATTTGATCACTTTTATTTATTACATAAGTTCTAGTAAAAATACTAAAATATTGTTATCACCATCATCAACATTTGCACTACTAAATTGTATACACAAAGTTATATATCCTAAAAATTCAGGACCCATCCATTGCTAGCTAGTCAGGTCATTTAGTGAGAGCTTCCCTAAATGACCAAGGAATTAATCTTATATATGACAAATTAGTTTGGAGTTGAACCGAATCCTATGCTACTCATAGAAAACTATTCACACATACAAAATAAGCCCACTACTTTTAAACCTAATTAATTATATCTTAAATATTGATACGTGCCTTGGCCTCACATCAATGTGTGTGTGTGAAAAAATGAAATTGTGAATCAATAATATATCAATACAGAGAAGGGGGATATGGGTGATAT